GAGGACGTCAACTGCAACATGCTTGCCATGCAATGGATCTCAGGTGAAATGGAGAGGATGGAAGAGCAAGGATCCGATGTACAGCTGGGTTATGACACAGAGCTGGATGATGAGACCGAAGAATTGATCTTACGCTCTTCGACATGTGGCTTCGGAGACTTTACGATGGCTTTCCTAGGTCGTGTCTTCACACTGTTGGAGAACCTGCCGGACGTCTCCAGAGTTCGAAACGGCTCACCCGAAGAGAACATCGTGAACACACTTCCCGCCACGTTTATGCCTCTTCTCGCCTCTTTATCTCCGGAGTATTACGATATCGCTCTAGGGAAGATTGTGGATTTCGTGTCCAACCATGTCATCCACCAGGCTCGTGATGCAATGGCTTTCATCTGCAACGCCCTATGCAAGGTTAACCCCGAGAAGGCCCTCAAGCGTTTTATCCCCGTCTTGACTGCAGCTATCCGCACTGAGATCGACGATAATGGTGCTGGATCAACCCGAACCACAGGAACCGATGTTTTGCCTCGTGATCGAGGTCTGGTCTGGAATGTCAGTATGCTGAGCATGTGTGTAGTACATGTCGGCAGCGCCGTCATTAACCACCGCCAAGAACTGTTCGACATTGCAGTCTACATGCAACAGAACTGCCGTGGCATTCCTACAGTTCATATTTCCAACTTTATTCACCATCTTTTGCTCAACTTGACTGGGACCTACACTAATGATTTTTCACTCTATGAACCTTCAGTCAAAGCGAACGGCATCGAGCCAAAGCTCTGGAGTTACCAAGCCGATGTGAATAATCTCAACATCAATTGGCATGTGCCGACACGTCAGGAAGTTGAATTTGCCGTCGATGTCTTCAAAATCCAAACAGAGACTGCTTTGAAGTCGCTATCTGCGCTAACCCATGAGACATCAAATGTCAAACGGGATGGAAGCGGCAAGGACTGGTCAGATGAGGTCACTCGGAACCTCGTGCTCCTGCGACTCGTGTTGTCTGGGGTTTCTGTCCTCTTTGACCCCAAAGCCGCATCGACCACAACACAAGGACCCTCGAACGGCACCTCCAGGGATGTCGAGATGGGGGATGACTTGGATGTTTCAAATGACGTTGATAACGATGCTGATACTGTCCTAGACAGCTCTGACGATGCGATAATCAGACAGGCCTTCACCTACCCCACTGGGTATGCCCTCAAGGAGGGAGATCCGTTATATACTACCATCCATGAACTCCGCGAGCGAACTGGCTGGGTCTTGCATGATGTACACCGGTTCTTGAGCGATAACCAAGAGGATGATGTTCCTTGCTTTGGGGCTCTGTACTCTGCCTTCAGATCGTGGTTTGTTGATGTGGGAATTGAGAGGTCCGCTCATGTACTGGACCGAGTGACTCGCCTCTTGGCCGCGGACATCCATCCTTATAAGATGAGTGGTCTGCGAAAAGATTACCCCAGGGCACTGCTTGTGCGCAGAGCCAACGTGTATCACCTCCAACGCCTACGACACAACGCTTCCCCCCGTCCTCGATCTAAGCTTGATGAAATTCTTCTCCTTGATATTGCCGAATCTTGCGTCTCGGTCTACACAGAAACGCGCCGCAATGCTCAAAACGCCGGCGAATCCGCACTCAAGGCGGTTTATGGCGGCAGACTGCTCATCATCCCCCCTCTGCTCACGGCTCTGCAAAGAGGTGTCAAGGAAAATGATCATGCACGCATCAAGGGAGCACTCTACTCGCTGCTTCTAAGCAGTGTAGCCAAAACCGTCGGACGGCATTGGAAGTATGCGCCTGCTGTGATCAGAACCTTTATCGATGCCAGCGCCGTTGATAAGCCTTCCGTCCAGAAGATATGCTCCACCGCAGTCTTCCAGGTCATGGACTACGGTCGTGCGATGGAGCGAATGGCTATCCTAGATCAAGAAATTGTGGAGGCAATTGCTCCCATTGAAGATGTCACCGGGCAGATCGAGAAAAAGCGCACAGTTGTCAATAGCAAGCGCGTTGCTATCGAGAAAAAGAAAGCCGACCTAGCCGAAGAGCTGGTTAACCTGGCCCGGGTATCCCATTGGAAGATTGCCAGTCGTGCTGCGACTATCGTCATCACTATGGGTCTCCGCTTTGACTATATCGCCAGCGATAACTTGATTGAACTGATGACACTCGGGTCTATTGACGACCATCCTGGCTTGCGAGGCATGTACTCCCAGGCTCTCATCGCGCTGTTCACTATGATCGATGTGCGGGCCATCTGCACTCACGAGTACAAGAACTACATTCTTGGCCATCAGCGTTTCCCATCAAAGATCAAGGTTGCAACAAAGCCCTATGAGAAAGGATACACCCAAGAATACCTTTCGAGCTTTGCGAAGCCCGAGGCGGAGTACTACGTTGATCATGACTTCCCGGGCTGGCTTGTGTGGGGCAAGACTATGCCGGCCTACAAGTCCAATGTAGCACAGGACATCGAGTATGATGAGGTTGAATGGAAAGTTCGCACCAAGATGGGCAAGTTGTTCACTCGCCAGTGGTTCTCCAAGTTCTTCATGTACTTGAAGCAAGAGCCACGGGACCCATCTGCTGACAAGTTCCGTATGTCCTGTGCCATGATGCTTCTCTACGCATTCGAGCTCATGATCCGGGATGGGTTGACAGCCGTCTCGTTTGAGGAAATTCAGGAAGAGATCAAGGATGTCTTTGAAGATGGCAGCGATAAGCACCAACATCGTGCCACGGCTGAAATTCTCGGAGCTTTGATCTCCTCTGTGGCAGATACAGGTGTGGAGAAACGGACCATGGTCTGGGAGTATGCATTCCCTATTGTACGAAAGATCTTCACCGACGGCCTCACTCCTGAGAACTCTGGCTACTGGACAACATTCCTCCACATGATCCTTCAATGCCGCGATCCCCGCCGCGCTTGGCCATTGGTCGATTGGCTATCCAGCTTCCGTCTTGATATGACGACGAACGCAGCATTCAAGGAAAGTTCCAAGATCAACCTCCTGCACCAATGTATCATTGATTCTGGTTGGCACTACCAGCTTGAAAAACCCATTGTGGAAGATTTCCTTGCGCATTTGGATCACCCGTACAAGGGCGTTCGCGAGGCAATGGGTCAGACCCTTGCAACTATCTATCGTACCAGGTACCACGAGTCATATCCTGATGTTCAGCATCTTCTCGAGGCCCAGAAATCCTATTCTTCTGTTGGCACATACCCCTATCCGCCCACCAAGGACTTCACGAAGGTGGTTCGGGGAGTTTTCAGCCAAATCGAGGAATGGCGGAAGGCCAGAACCCCTGGCCAACAAACACCCTCACCCTACACCTCGGGTAGCAAAACTGTTCTCCTTTGGCTGGACTCGACTTTGTCTTCTCACGAGTGTACTCAGCTTGTCCCATTCTTCCCTGATGTCTTCACCGCGCAGCTCCTGCACATGATGGATGTGAAGGAAGACCCAGAGCTTCAGTCCCTCGCATACCACGTTTTCCGTCACCTTCCCAACATCCCTTACCCAGCCGAGAAAAACTCCGAATTTATCCAATCTCTCATCCGCATCGGGCAGACATCCCCATCATGGCACCAGCGCCTTCGTATCATGATCAACATTCAAATCATCTACTTCCGCCGTCTGTTCCTGCTCGACCCCGCAGACCGCGACAAGCTCTTCGAGTGTATCGCCTCCATGCTCGAAGACCCCCAGCACGAAGTTCGTGCTGGCGCCTCGGCTACACTGTCCGGTATGGTCCGATGCTCGCCCGTCTTCCTGCGGGAAAAGATGGTCAGTCGCTTCCATGAACGCTTCACAAAGCTTCTGGTAGACAACCCTCTCCCTAAGAAACCGAAGAACTTGCGCCCAGGAATCGCCTCCTCCGCTGTGTCATCCGGTGCTGGAACCCCTACTCCCGAGCACAACCGCTTGATTATTGTTCGTCACGGTGCTGTGCTGGGGCTTGGCGCTTTGATCCAGGCCTTCCCTTACAACAGTCCTCCTCCTCACTGGATGCCCAAGGCATTGACTTCGCTCAGTATCCGTGCCGCCAATGATCCCGGCATTGTGGGTTCGAGCGTGAAGTCGATTATTAGCGAGTTCAAGAAGACTCGGCAAGATACTTGGCACATTGATGCAAAGGTTCGTGCTTATGCGTTTAACGTCAATTCTCTTTCAAAGCAAATAGCTAACGATTATTACAGGCTTTCACATCGGATCAGCTAGAAGACTTATCAGGTGTTCTATGGAAGAGCTACTTCGCGTAGATGGAACTTGGATATTTACCATTCTTGGGTTTGGTTCTCTGGTCAGACGACTCCTAAAAGCAATGTGATTAATGGCCGTTCGTATATATTCCTCGGTCTTCCCACATCAGGAGCTCTCTGATAGGGCGACCTATATTTAGCACGAAAATGAAAGACCTGTGCTATCTTCATTTGCTCTTCATATAGATCCTGTAGAATTCTCTCTACGCCAGGTCACGGGTAGTTGGGATCAAGCTGTTTGAGAAGAGACACCGTGAGATAAGCTCTATACTTTGCCGGTGTTGGATTTCAATGAAACATGTTTAGTACTGCAGACAGGAAATTTTGGTCTGATACTACTTACGAAGTACTCGGTGTATACCCCACGATATGGTACATTGTACATTGTACGACAAGCACGCAGAATATCCAACATATAACTATTTTGGCCTGTACAACTTCAATGTGCCTGTCAGGTTGGATTCAAGTGTGGTATTACCCAAGTGTTAGTCGATGCAGTCAACACCGCGTAGCGATGACATCGTAGGCCCTCTAAACCCTCTCTCGTAGACATTACGGATCAAATAGATTGCTTCACTTTTCTCCCATATATCCTTGACTTGTGCATACAGTTCCTTGTTTCATTTGGAATATCTGCACTTCCCTTTCCATCTTACCAAGCGTATCACGCACATCCCGTGGCTTTCAAAGCCAAAGCATACGATTATTCACCCTGTTACTTGACTGTCACTTGCCATGAAATCCCTCACAAGAAATACCATGCCTTCCGTCTCTCTATGGAATCGCCGATGGATCTGCTTGCGCTGGCTGGGATATCTTACCTGCCTAATTACCGTCATCCAGACTAGCTCATTCCTCTTTGGGTACCCGGAGACAAATCTTGTCCAGATTGTCTATGCTTCATTCCATCGCCCTGGGATCCTTCGGCCTGGTCAATATCCTGGGATTGTTGGTGTGGGGGACAAGGTAGCAGACGAAGGCTCATCTGAGCCAGATGTGTTGAGCATGACACATGATCGGAGGTTTGTATTCATTCCAAGGTATGGGTGTACTGGTATAAGATCATGCTAAAAATAATCCTTACATTAGAGACAAGCGATTTTATCTAGGCGGGACCCTAACCCTAACCAGTATCGAATCTGTCAATGCCTCGCACCCAGTCCCACTTATCTATGACCCATACCCAGCATACAACAGCCGAGAATGGAAGAAGCAGTTCCATGGAAAGTTTCGGTCCTGTCTTGGCCCCAGGGGTCGTTATCTCGACCGCAGGTCTGCAGAAGATATGATCCAAGTCTACAAGGGCCAACAAATCGAGTTCCCAGCACCACTTTTCGGATCGTACGAGGCATTGGAGCTGGATGGGAACGTTTGCACGGACCGATACTCTCGCTTCGGGGCATATGGATACGATGACCATGGCGAGGATGAGGTACCGGGCTTCACGCGCCCTCCCGCACTGCCGTGGTGCGAGGTCGATTGGCACAGGCTGCAAAACCTCTGTCTTGAAAGAAACGCAGATAGATACGAGTCGACCGAGACCGCCAACTCCTCAACCCAGAGTCCCTTGGCCTTCGATCTTCCACAAGCTCCTCCCAAATCATGGGAGTCACCTGTGAGTGCGTCGGGTGTGAAGCAGCTCCAACCTCGCTCGGCAGTGCTAATTCGGGCTTGGAATGGGCTCGACTGGAAGCCTCACCATCGTGAATACGTTCGGGCTTTGATTATGGAGCTTTCCTTGCATTCTGGTGGAGAATATCAGATCTATATCCTGTGTCATGTCAAGGATAACGAGATGCCCATATTTTCTGATATTAATACCATCAACCGGCTCAGGAATTCCATCCCCAAAGAATTTCGGAATATGGCTCTGTTCTTCAATAACAAACTATTGGAAGCTTGGTATCCCAAGATAGAAGAGCACAGGTGAATCAATCCTTTCACATTGACTGCTTTCATAAAGAGAGCTCTTACTAACAGCACTCACAGTCCCCAACTTCAACACCACCAACCGCTGCAAATATTCTCCAAGCTCTATCCCCACTTCGACTATTATTGGCAGCTAGAAATGGATGGTCGACACACAGGACACATCTACCACTTCCTAGACCGAGCAATCTCATTCGCGCGCCAACAACCGCGCAAATACCTCTGGGAACGCAACGCCTACTTCTACACCCCCGGTGCACACGGCGACTGGAGTCAATTCAAGCAAATGGTGCACGAAAGCTTATCCGACAAGTCCAACCGCACAATCTGGGGCCCAGTATCCCGCACAGGGATCCGGCCCCTGGGCCCGGAGCCGCCAGTGCCATATCCAGACCAAGACAACTACACCTGGGGCGTGGGCGAAGAAGCCGACTTCATAACGTTTCTTCCAATCTTCAACCCACAAGACACGCAATGGACGTTCCCGGACAAAGTCTGGAACTTCAGATACGGCGAGGGCACGCCGCGCCGCGCCGCAGTCATCACAATGGGCCGATATTCCAAGCGTCTGCTGGATCTGATCCATCACGCGCAGGCGACAAAGGGCCTCGGTCTTGCGTCTGAGATGACGGGTGCATCATGGGCTCTGTTTCATGGCCTCAAAGCTGTGCATGTTCCCCATCCTATCTATGCGGATGGCCAGTGGACGCCGAGGGAACTGGCGCGCATTTACAACCCAGGTCCGCCGGAGAATATTAACGGGGGTCCTGATAGCATCTGGAATTTTGATCATCTCTTTGATCATATCATGTACCGGCTCTCGTATATGTTTACGACGCATAGCGCGGAGGACTTGTACAGACGTTGGTTGGGGTTCAGGACTGCGGAGAACGAGGGTGGGAAAACGGTGAGTACATTTCCTTTTCCTGTTCTTGGTTCGTTTGAGATGGTAATAATTGACTGATTTATCTATAGATATCTGAGGATCGTTATGGTCGGCATTGCTTCCCATCTATGTTTCTTCATACAATCAAGAACATAGCGCAAGGAATGGGCCTAGATAGGGCTGTTCCCTGATCTATATCCATTTAGTTATACTTGTTCGCATTTCAGTTTCTTTTTGCCTGGAGTTATCTGGCGTTGAGATGGAATGGAGGAACATAACTATGATTTGCGTTAATACTTAATCCAGAGGAATCTGAAGCCTTGCAATACTATTTGCATTAAAAAATCGATCATTGTTCCAGGTATTAAATTATAGAGAAATATATATTGCAAGGAGAGTTCATTTAAGATACTAAAGTTATCTGAGTGAGCTCTATTAAACAAATCGTAGAATTGCACAAAAACAAAATTCATCGCTGTATACATAAAAGGAAGAGTAGTAAAAAAAAGCCATCAAAACAGGCCAGAATACAGGAAAAAGGGTAACCTATGTACGTGAATGGAACAACCTGAGAAACCGAGAGCAATTTACCGTTCATATGCTCTGTGAATTTTGATAATCCCCGTCCCAAAAATGAAAGTAGTTCATCTCATAGCATCATTAAGCGCCCCCGGGGGAGTGGCTCTACCTTTCTATCCCCTGGCATTATACTTCTCATTGAAAGCATTGACCGCTGGAAAAAAAAAAGAGTTAGTTAGTATATGACATTATGTAGCATGATCCGGGTAACCACTTACCAACAGCAATCTGTCTATACAGCCAGTTCCGCGAGCTTTCGTCTTGAACAGGAATGAATGGTCCGTTGGCACCACCCTTGAGCGTGATACTCATTCCCGTGCGCTCCTTGGAGATGGTCTGGATATCCGTGAGACGTATATCCCACTCAGTAGCTAGCTTCTTCGTGCGCACTAGCATGATACGTGCGTAGGTCAACAAGACCAGCATGTCTCGACCAGGAAGCTCTAGGTGGGCAATGTAGTCCTCGTTGAAGTATTTGCCGTCGTCCGTAGTCTTCAGCCAGAACTGTCCGAGAGCTTCGCGCTGCGAGTATGGGCGCACAATACCATCGGTACCAATGAAGCGAGTGAGTCGAACACGATCGAGACCTTCGGCGTCGAAAACGGTAGTGGTGTTGCGAACACCTTCTGCCAGATCTAGTAGGGAATTGTTAGCCATGAATACCAGAGAGACAAATGGTTCAACTTACTGGAGGCAAGATCGAATGCACCGATTGCTGGCTTGGTAGCCAGCCCAAGAACACCCTTTCCAACACCCTTGAAAAATCCTTGGATACCTTCTTTCTCGGCACCTTGCAGTGGATGACGCGCCAATCCACCGATACCGCTTGCTAGACTAGTTGCAAATGCATTTCCACCAGCTGTTATTCCATATAGCGCGTGCTTGGGGCGGTTGCGCACCTTGGACATCCGGCGCTGGGTTTGGAACTCCTTATCAAGAGTAGCGGCGGCGAGACCCTTGGACATACTTCCAGTGAGCTTGGCCATACTGTCCGAGAATCCAAAGACGGACTTCTTGAAGAAGCTTGTGGCACCCTTTGCGATACCCATACCAAGCTCTTGGGGACGGTCGGTCATGACCAGACCCTGATATGGCTCATAGAAGATGGCGGCGACACCAGAGCTAACATTGTTGAACAAACCGACAGGGTTGCCCAAGAAGTCAGCCGAACCGAGGATAATATGGATCTGGCGCAAGAATTCTTGGGTGTAGTGTGCACGGATATTGCCGACTAGGCTGGGGAAAGAGACACGGGCATTCTCGAGCATTAGAGCGTTGAGTCGGACAGGCGCATCATTAACATTACCCATTGACATTGTCATGACGTTGACAAAGAACATCAACGGGTTGGAGGGTTGCATAGCATCTTCCACATTGACACGCTCGGTACGCATGAAAGAAATATCCATCTGCATAGGCTGGAGGTGAAGAAGCTCGAAGTACACATCCTGGCCGTTGTCTGCCTGTTGCGGCTCTGGAATGTTGAGGTTTTCATCGCATAGTTTGCCCTCTTGTTCCTCTGCCCACGAAGCACCCGGAATCTTGACAAAGTCAAGCATGGCGAAGACAAAGTCCTCATCCAGTTCGAGTGTCATTTGCTGCAGTAGCAAGGTCGCGTACTTGATATAGAGAACACCGTACGAGTCGTCCTTGACCCGTGTGATCATTGCATGGAAGATTGGGTGTGCTTCCATCTCCTTACCAGTCTTCGGAACAACACTGGGGTAAAGCAAGATGGGGAAAATGCCACCATAGAGTTGATTATCGATCTGGATCCACTTGATCGTAGTGTTCAGAGTCTGGTATAATACCGACTCCCTGAACTTGATCTCAATCTCGCGGAATGTGAGATACAACAGCTCCTTCAGGTTCTGGTTGATCAATGAGATTCCAATGCCACCAAGGCGAAGTTGGGCCTTGAAGTTGACGTCCGAATGCATTTCCTTGACCTCGAACCCAGTGTTCGTGCCGGTCTGGGAAGGTTGTCCTCTTTGTTGCTTGTACATGCTCTTCGACGGTTTGAAGTTGGACAGCACGAGAGTCTGAGTGGGGCCATCAGCAGCAATGTTGATGTCAATGATCTTCTGGTATCCGCCAGGCTGCGAAGGTGGAATCCGCATTGGGATCAGGTTTCCTATCTCAGCAAGCTTGATATGGCGCTCTTTGCCCTGGCAGGTCAACACGAGTGATTTGTTTTTCGTCGCCGGGTAGTCCCATGCATACGGCATGATACTCCGCGCCGGGATTCGATACCGGATCGGCCTCCAGCCGCTAGTCTGGTCGTCTTCATCATCTTCCACATTTGGATTAGCTTGGTAGAAAATGAATTCCATATCGCTTTCGTTACGCATGGAGAACGGCCAATTGCGAGACTCGATGCTGAAGTGCAAGAAAAGAGTTGCTCCTTCCAAGATGATATCAACCTTGATCAGCTTCTGCCGCTGATTCGCCTTGGCCAATTTAACGTGCACAGTCCCGACCTCTGCAATGTTGAACGGAGAAGACCATTGATTGTTGACGCCCGGGAAGCAGAGGCACAGCTGTTTCTCTTGCACTTGGCGAAGGAAATGAAGCGGTACCAACTGACCGTTTTGAACCTGGAGTACGTTGGACGAGCCTGGCTCCCGCGCTAGAAGATCTTCGCTGAGCTTGCTCTTTAGAATGAAACGTGGAGCAAGAGTGACCACCTTGGTCATCTTATACTTGCCCTCACCTTCAGCAACAGACACTCCGGAGTGGAACTCAGATCTGCCTTGGCGATCAGGGAAGATGACCTCAAATGTACTGCCAATAGCCTCGAAACTCTGCGGCTTGCTCCATGCAGAATCGCTGACCTTCAAGATAGATCGGTTTCGTTGATCCTCATTGGCATAAGAGTACATATATGGGAGTGCACGACCCTCATGTCTTGGATCGGCTCTGAGTCCTTGACCAGCAGCATTTCTCGCAGACTGAAGGAATGCTTTGCTCTGAATGTCCATGGGAAGGAGAGTCTTGTTCAAGATAAGGTATGGGCTGTACACAGAGACCTTGAAAGCACCACCGCTGTTAGGAATGTTGAAGTAATGGAGCTGTAACTTCAGTTGAAGGCCCCGCTCATCCTTAAGAGACAAGGTATGCTCTCTGCGGTAGTCCTGAGCATTGCCGTTGACGATAGCAAACTCGCTCTGGCGGAAGACCGTATCTTGCAGATCAATGCTGAGCAACAGTAAGTGGGACAGTTCCACGACGTGGACGGGACTGACACCCCCCTTCCTCAGGAAATTCGTCCAATCCTTCTTGGTGTTCTTGTCATAAATGCGGTACTTGAAATCGTAGGGCAAGAGATTCTGAATCTCCACGGGGGCGAAGATCCGGATTCTCATGTAGGGATACACGCTCGTAAGCGAATCTTTGTTATCGTATGTTGCGTTGACTTGGAAATAGAAAGGAGGAGACTGTTGTCCGCTTTCGCTGACGCACTTGACAGTGCGTGTGGGTCGCTTGATGAGGTCCTTCCAGAACAGTCGCTCGCCTGACCAGTCATACCCGAAGCCCTGGTCGGGACGAACAACAACAGAATGGAGGTATGCTGATCCGACAGGTGCCGGTCGTGCATCGCCAGGCAAGATCTTCTCGATCTTTAACAAGTGGCCGTCTCCTGGGCTGAAAATGCCCATTTCCACAGGAATTTGAGTGTTGTTCTCGATAAGAAGTGGTGAGCGGAATGTGATGTACTTGACATTATCGGGTCCCAGCTTGACTTCCACGAGTAGTCGGTGAAGAATATTTTCTTGCTTCGGCTTCAGAGCGTAGATAGTTTCGCCCTCGCGTACGACAGGAATGCGGCTGATACTATCAAAGCCACTGCCTTCCAAGTTGACACCGACCACTCCGCCGTGGCCTTCTGGTGTTAGCGTTTCACGGACAGCGGTGGAATCTTCAAATCGCCATGGGGATTCTTCGCCATCACTAAGTTTCGCTGCTGGGCCTTCATCTCCTGCGCTGACATCTGCCCAAACTCTGAGGTCAAATCCAGTATAGTTGCGGATTCTGTATGGGGCATCAGCGCCTCTTGGCTTGGAAAGAACATCCTCTGCCGTAGAGAGGAACTGGAAGGATTTGGATGCGAGTGCAATCGTGGCGGATGTTACGGTAAGCTCCATCGTCTTGTGCGAGTACACATCGAAAGAGAAAACATCCGGGTTGATCTCCTTGGCCAGGTGGAATCCCAACTGCCAGGGCTCGATCAACGGCTCCCAGGCCGACTTCGAGAAGTTGTACACATTCAAGAACGTTTCGAAGTTGGTATCGGCACTCAGTGTTGTTGACCAGTCGCGCACATCGACGTCGAATTTCTTGACGCTCCAATCGAGCAAAGGTAGATCATGTAGGTCGCCAATAAGAATGACTCTAATTCCGTCGATCTTGGCAGACATCTCTTCACGCTTGAGAAGAACTGGACTTTGTGGCATGATTGCCTTATCCAGGTGTGCAACCCCTTGACTCAGGCGACGGGCTCTCTTAGCAATGGTAGAGGACGTCTTGCTGGCAGAACGCCCTCTGGTTGATTTAGCATCCGTGATTTTTTTCACCTCTCCGCTCTCGATCTGATGGGAATTCTGGGCCCTCA